CGGGAATGACGGCGGGGAGAAATGGGAATGGCAGAGGGAAAGACAGCGGGAAAAACAATGGGAAAAACAATGGGAAAAACAACGGGAATGACGGGAACAGCAGGAAAAACAACAGGAGAAACAACGGGAATGACAGCGGGAAAAACAACAGGAAAAACAACGGGAATGACAGTGGGAACACCGGGAGAAACAACGGAAAAAACAATGGGAAAAACAATGGGATAAACAACGGGAATGATGGTAGGGAACAGCGGGAAAATCAACGGGAAAAACAATGGGAAAAACAACGGGAATGATGGCCGAAACAGCCGGAAAAACAACCGGAATGACGGCGGGGAGAAATGGGAATGACAGCGGGAATGACGGCGGGGAAAACAACGGGAAAAACAATGGGAATGACAGAGGGAACAGCGGGAAAAACAATGGGAAAAACAACGGGAATGACGGCAACAGCAGGAAAAACAACAGGAAAAATAATGGAAAAAACAACGGGAAAAACAACGGGAAAAACAACGGGAAAAACAACGGGAATGATGGCCGGAACAGCCGGAAAAACAACCGGAATGACGGCGGGGAAAAATGGGAATGACAGCAGGAAAAACAGCGGGAAAAAAAACGGGAATGACGGCGGGAACAGCGGGAAAAACAATGGGGAAAACAATGGGAAAAACAATGGGAAAAACAACGGGAATGACGGGAACAGCAGGAAACACAACAGGAAAAACAATGGAAAAAACAACGGGAAAAACAACGGGAATGACGGCGGGAACAGCCGGAAAAACAACGGGAAAAACAACGGGAATGACAGAGGGAAAGACAGCAGGAAAAACAATGGGAAAAACAACGGGAATGACGGCGGGAACAGCCGGAAAAACAACGGGAAAAACAATGGGAAAAACAACGGGAATGACAGTGGGAACAGCGGGAAAAACAATGGGAAAAACAATGGGAATGACGGGAACAGCAGGAAAAACAACAGGAAAAACAACGGGAAAAACAACAGGAAAAACAACGGGAATGACGGCGGGAACAGCGGGAAAAACAACCGGAATGACGGCGGGGAAAAATGGGAATGACAGCAGGAAAAACAGCAGGAAAAACAACAGGAAAAACAACAGGAATGACGGGAACAGCGGGAAAAAAAAACGGGAAAAACAACGGGAATGATGGTAGGGAAAAACGGGAATGGGAACAGCGGGAAAAGTGGGAATGACAGCGGGAAAAATGGGAATAACAGTGGGAAAAATGGGAATGACAATGGGAACGGTGGGAAAAACGGGAATGACAGCAGGAGAAACAACGGGAACGGGAACAGCGGGAATGACGGCGGGAAAAATGGGAATGAGAGCAGGAAAAACAGGAATGGGAACAGCAGGAATAGTGGGAATGGGAACAGCAGGAACAGCGGGAATGACAGCGGGAATGACGGGAACAGCAGGAAAAATGGGAACAGCGGGAATGGGGACGGGAATGACAGCGGGAAAAACGGGAATGGGAACGGCAGGAAAAGGAATGGGAACAGCGGGAATGACAGCGGGAATGATGGGAACAGCGGGAAAAGTGGGAACGACAATGGGAATGACGGGAATAACGGCAGCGGGAACGACGGGAATAACAGTTGGAATGACGGGAATGACGGGAGCAGGAACAGCGGGAACGACAGGAACAACGGGAATGACAACGGGAAAAACAATGGGAAAAACAACGGGATTGGGACAGCGGGAATGCCGGGAAAACAACGGGAGAAGAAAATTGGGATCAGGACGGGAACACCGGGAAAAGCGGGATCAGGGAATTCCGTCCCGATCCCGAGCTGGGATTTGGGAATTCCAGGAATTCCATCCCGATCCTGATCAGAGCTTCGGGAATTCCCGGAATTCCATCCTGATCCAGCTTTTCCCAGCCCAAATCGGGATTTTGGAATTCCGGGAATCCCGTCCTGATCCTGGAACTGAGCTTCGGGAATTCCGGGAATCCCGTCCTGATCCGGCTTTTCCAGGACCAAACTGGGCCCTGAGAATTCTGGGAATTCCATCCCGGTCCCAACTGAGCTTTGGGAATTCTGGGAATTCCATCCTGCTTCCAACCCGGGCTTCGGGAATTCCGGGAATTCCGTCCCCATCCCGTTTTTTTCCCGGGGGAACTCCGTCTTTTCCCGCCCCTATCCCGCTTTTCCCGCGGCTCACTTGTCGAGGCAGGCGAGGCTCAGGCACTTTTCCTGGGATTGGGGATTCCCGGGAGCGGCTCCGGAGTCGTTTTCCCGCAGGATGGAGTCGATGAAGGTGGAGGGGGACAGGGGGGTCTCGGAATTCCCGGAATTCCCGGAATTCCCGGAGTTCCGGGGCTCCTCCGGCCGCGGGCTCCGGGTGGGGCTGGGAGGCTCCTCCTTGATGCGGATGGGGGGGCTGCTCCGGGGAAAAAAAAACCGGGAATTAGCGGGAAAAACGGGAATGGGAAAAACGGGGGAATGGGAAAATGGGAAAAAAATGGGAATTGGGATAATGGGAATGGGAAAAACGGGATAGCGGGGGGTGAGGATGGGAAAAATGGGAATTGGGATAACGGGAATGGGAAAAACGGGATAATGGGAAAAATGGGATCATGGGAATGGGATTGGGGATTGGGAATAGGAAAAAGAGGATTGGGAAAAACTGGGAATGGGGAAAATGGGATCATGGGAGCGGGAAAAATGGGATTGGGAAAAACGGGAAAAATGGGAAAAATGGGAAAGCCGGGATTGGGAAAAATGGGAAAAATGGGAATTGGGAAACTGGAATGGGGAAAATGGGAATGGGAAAAATAGGGATGGGAAAAACGGGAATGAGGAAAATGGGAATGAAAAATGGGAATTGGGAACGGGAAAAACGGGAATGGGAGTGGGGAAATGGGAATGGGAAAAATGGGAACGGGAAATGGGAATAAAAAACAGGAATGGGAATGGGAAACGGGAAAAACGGGAATTGGGAATGGGAAAAACGGGAATGGGATTGGGAAAAGCGGGATAACGGGGATGGGGAAAACGAAATAACGGGAACGGGAAAATGGGAATGAGAAAAAGGAACGGGGAATGAGAAACTTTTGGGAAGTCAGAGGGGTTTTGGGAATTTCCTGGATTTCCAAGAAGCAGCGGATTTCCGGGAAGCCCCGGATTTCTGGGAATTGAATTTTTGGGAAGCAGCAGATTTTTGGGGATTTTTCAGATTTTTGGGAAGGAGAGGAATTTTTGGGAACAGAGGATTTCTGAGAAGTCCTGGATTTTTGGGAATTTCCCGGATTTTTGGGTATTTCCTGGATTTTTGGGAATTGGGTTTTTTGGGAAGCAGCAGATTTTTGGGAAGGACAGGAATTTTTGGGAATTTTCCAGATTTTCAGAAATTGGACTTTTTTAGGAATTTGTGGGATTCTTGGGAATTTCCAGGATTTTTGGGAAGGAGAGGAATTTTTGGGAACAGAGGATTTCTGAGAAGTCCCGGATTTTTGGGAATTCCCAGAATTTTGTGGATTTCCTGGATTCTCAGGAATTCCCAGGATTTTGGGAAGCAGCAATTTTTGGGAACAGACGATTTTTGAGAACTCCCGGATTTTTGGGAATTGGATTTTTGGGGATTTCTGGGATTTTTTGGAATTGGATTTTTGGGAATTCCCGGGATTTCTGGGAATTCCCGGGATTTTGGGATTTGGGATCCCCACCTGTGTCCGGGGCTGTGTCCGGGGGATCCCTCGGGGCTGGAGGGCGGCAGCTCCGTCACGTCCGCGATCCGGGGCCCGGAGCCGCCCGGATCCGCCGGGAAACGCCCGGGAACGCCCAGAGCCGGAGCCGGAGCCTGCGGAATCCCGCCCGGAATTATCCCGGGAATTCACCCGGCCGCAATTCCCGGGAGAGGGAAATTCCAGAGGGGGAAGGGAAGGGGGAGGATCCCACAATTCCCAAAAATCCCATTCCCACAATTCCCATAAATCCCAAATCTCACAATTCCCGTAAATCCCATTCCCACAATTTCTGTAAATCCCATTTCCACAATTCCCATTCCCATAATTCCTGTAAATCCCATTCCCACAGTTCCCACAATTCCTGAAATTCCCATTCCCACAGTTCCCACAATTCCCATTCCCACAATTCCCACAATTCCTGTAAATCCCATTCCCACAATTCCCACAATTCCTGTAAATCCCATTCCCACAATTCCCACAATTCCTGAAAACCCCATTCCCACAATTCCCACAATTCCTGTAAATCCCATTCCCACAATTCCCACAATTCCTGAAAACCCCATTCCCACAATTCCCACAATTCCTGTAAATCCCATTCCCACAATTCCCACAATTCCCATTCCCACAATTCCCACAATTCCCGTAATTCCTGTAAATCCCATTCCCACAATTCCCACAATTCCTGAAAACCCCATTCCCACAATTCCCACAATTCCTGTAAATCCCATTCCCACAATTCCCACAATTCCTGAAATTCCCATTCCCACAATTCCCGAAAACCCCATTCCCACAATTCCCATTCCCACAATTCCCATCCCTCATTTCCATTCCGAATAAATCCCAATCCCACAACTCCCATTCCCAAGAAATCCCACCCCCCATTCCCATTCTCCCGATCCTTTTCCCATCCCTTTTCCCACTTTTTCCCATCCTTTTCCCGCCCTTTTCCCTCCTTTTTTTCCCACCCTTTTCCTGTCTCTTTTCCCACCCTTTTCCCACTTTTTCCCACCCTTTTTCCTGCCTTTTCTCACCTTTTTCCCACCCCTTTCCCACTTTTTCCCCATCCTTTTCCTGCCGTTTTCCCGCCCTCTTCCCACCTTTTCCTTCTCTTTTCCCACTTTTTTCCAGCCCCTTCTCCAGCACCTTTTCCCACCCCTTTCCTGCCTCTTTTCCCACTCCTTTTCCTGCCCCTTTCCCTCTTTTCCAACTTTTTCCTGCCTCTTTTCCCACCATTTTCCAGCCCTTTTTCCCCTTTTTTCCCCACCCCTTTTCCTGCTCTTTTCCCATCCCATTCCCACCCTTTTCCCGTCCCTTTCCCACTTTTTCCCCACCTTTTCCTGCTCCTTTTCCCACTCCTTTCCCAGTTCCTTTCCCAGCCTTTCCCTGCCGTTTTCCTGCCCTTCCCCCCCTTCCCGCCTCTTTTCCCATCCTTTTCCCACTTTTTTCCACCTTTTCCCCGCCCCTTTTCTACTCTTTTCCCACCATTTTCCTGCTCCTTTTCCCACCCCTTTCCCACCTTTTTTTCCCGACCTTTTCCTGCTCCTTTTCCCACCCCTTTTCCCACCTTTATCCACCCTTTCCCACTCTTTTCCCGCTCCTTTTCCTGCCTCTTTCCCAACTTTTTCCTGCCTTTTCCCACCATTTCCCCACCCCTTTTCCCACCCTTTTCCTGCTCTTTTCCCACCTTTTCCTGCTCCTTTTCCCACCTCTTTCCCACCCTTTTCCCACCTTTTTCCCATCCTTTTCCCGCCTTTTTTTCCCACCCCTTTCCCACTTTTTTCCCGACCCTTTCCTGCCCTTTTCCCACCCCATTCCCGCTGTTTTTCCTGCCCTTTTCCCGGTTTTTCCTGCCCTTTTCCCGCCCCATTCCCGCTGCTTTTCCTGCCCCATTCCCGCTGTTTTTCCCGCCTTTTCCCGCCCCATTCCCGCTGTTTTTCCTGCCCTTTTCCCGCCCCATTCCCACTGTTTTTCCCACCTTTTCCCGCCCCATTCCCGCTGTTTTTCCCACCCCATTCCCGCTGTTTTTCCCGCCCCATTCCCGCTGTTTTTCCCGCCTTTTCCCGCCCCATTCCCACTGTTTTTCCTGCCCCATTCCCGCTGTTTTTCCCGCCTCATTCCCGCTGTTTTTCCCGCCTTTTCCTGCCCCATTCCCGCTGTTTTTCCCACCCCATTCCCGCTGTTTTTCCCGCCCCATTCCCGCTCTTTTCCCGGTGTTTTTCTCACGGTGTAGGCGGAATTCCCGTGGTGCTCCAGGGAATATTGCCGGCTGTACTTGGGCACGGAATGCGCGGCGCCGCCGTCGTTCAGCATCAGGGGGCTGATCCCGGAAAAAAAAACCGGGAATCACCACGGGAAAACCCCGGAATTCCGGGAAAAACGGGAATTTTCCCGCTTTTCCTGTTTGTTTTTGGGAAAAATGGGGATTTCCCTGTTTTTCCTCATTTTTTTCTGTTTTTTTCGCGCGAAAAATGTGAATTTTCCTGTTTTTTCCAGGGAAACTGGGAATTTTCCCACTTTTCCTGGTTTTTTTTTGGGAAAAAAAGGGATTTTCCTGTTTTTGGTTTTTTTTTTCTGGGAAAAAAATGAGATTTTACTGTTTTGCAGCATTTTTTTCTGGAAAAATGAGAATTTCCCAGTTTTTCCTGTTTTTTTTTTGGGAAAAAAAGGGATTTTCCTGTTTTTGGTTTTTTTTTTCTGGGAAAAAA